CCCCAAAACCCCAAAACCCCAATACTCAAGAGTAAATGCATTTTTGTTATCATTATTAATATCAACATTTAAATCAATTGAATATTAAGTCAAGTTCAAGACTCTGAATCAAATTTCAGTATCTTTAATGAACTGGTGGAGTCCCTATTCCTTTACATACTCAGCATGCACTCTCAAAATCTCAATCAGCTCTTAAGTATGAACTCGCTCTTGAACTTGCTTATACCAGTCATCGAATTAAATTCTCACATTCTTATCATATTAGTCCATAGTATAAAGTGCTGACTATAAATTGCCCTCTTCCACTTACTGTTAAGTATATTTTAGTAGTTTCAATTATCTAGTAAATGCTGAATCCTCTGATTTTTCAAGGTATCTGTCAAGGTAATCTTTTTTTAGGTTATTGAGTATCCTTCTTCCAAAGAAAAGTTGTAATTTCCCATATAAATATAGAGGAATATTCTATAACAATAACATAAATTTAAATTTATCTTACATTTTATCTCACAAATAGATTAAATAAAACTCTCTCATATATATCATCGAATGATTTTTGCAAATTACATGGTTAGGCATGGTGTTTTTGGCCAATATTTTTTACTAGATTATAACCAAGTAAATCTTAATTATCAAAAGTCAAATGATGGAAAAGCTTCTATCTCTCATTTTCATCAGATTTTCCCTCATATAAGTCTCTCTAAGTCTGGTATATAAACTTTTTTAGCTAAACAGAATAGTCAGTTTGGTAAATGTTTGAGATTCTTTCGAAAACAGTACATAAACCATACACCTCAGCTTGGAGAGTTTCTAAATGGCTGTTGTACTCTCTTTAATAACCTATAAAGTCTGAATATATGATTTCTTCTATTTTATTGGTCACCAGCACATCTTGCTCTTTAGATTATTACTAATGCCTTAAATATATTTCTGATTTTAGCTCCTAAATGTTTTCCATAGAATTTTCTAGAGATCTTATTCTATCCTTCTATTTCTAATTAAAATATGAATAGTTTAAAGTTCTTACAAATCCAACGATTATATCTTCATAGTTTGAGAGTATTTACTTTTTAGTATCCTTAAGGTTTGATTTTATTTTCAAGTCCATTTGTCCAATCTAAGGAATCACATTTTCAGTGCAATATATATTCATTTATTTTGAGAAATCCTCAAGCATTTACAATGAATTTTCATCTATATTGTCTAGTTCCTAATCTAATACTGGCTAACCACTAGGAAGTAGATTGTATTGATACTCTTTAATTTCATTGTAAGCATAATTTTGCTCACTAAATTAGTCTCGCTTATTTTATAGCTATTCGTAAAATTCCTGTTGTTATTTTAAGCTCATATCTTTTTCCTTAAGATTTTCTTAATATAATTAACCTAACTTTAGTATTAGAAGTTTATTGTGAGTTTCATAATATTTAACTTCCTCATCTTAGTAATTTTAATTTCGTTCTAATGCTTATTTATTCAATTCCAAAAGTCTATCAAAAGACGCTTTAGCATTTCTTCTCAAGTTCTGAACTACTACCGAATTTTGATAGTCTTCAAATCTCACTTATTCCTCTTCTACTTCTTCATATAGCTTGTCATTTTAGGGGAAGGTCTGATTTTATTCATTTTACTGATCAACGATTGGTACCAGAATTATTCTGTTTTCTTAAATTTGACTTTGATAGGCTTGGTTCTTCTCTGTCTACCTTTATTTAGAAATCTTGTCAACATTTATCATCTCAACTAGTTTAAGTTTTTCATCTACTTATTTTTATAGTTACTCAAATCGTCTCTATGTAAAAGATTTATACAATGAAAAAATTAGGTACCCTTAGTACTTCCTATTCTGCTAGAACTTTATCTCTCTCAACAGACCTCAATGAGTAATAATAATGCAACTAGGCTATAAAATTAAGAATCTATTTGGCTTACAACCGAGGTAATACGCTAATGAAGGGTAAAGCAAGGCTTGAATAATCAATCCCCTATTCTATATCTTTAAGCAAAATATCTTACAATAAATCTCTTAGATACTGCTCTACTTGAAAATCTTCTTACACTGCTTTTATTAAATTACAATCGAGTTGTCATTTATCTGGTAGTCTTTGATTAATTTAACATATTGATTTTTATAATAATTTTTTCTCCCAAACAATCTATTTCTATTATTTGGGGTTTTGGGGTTTTGGGGTTTTGGGG